GAACATCTGCAGGGAGGCAGGCACCCCTGCACCCACTAGCACTTCACTGCAGCTGTCCCATCTCAGCACCCCCCAGCTGAGTGGATTCCAAACCTTGAAGAGCGAGAGAACAAAGTTGGGGCCTCATACAAGTACCCCAGAGTTAGTGCACACAGTCCAGAAGTTGGGAGCTGAGCGTTGGACCCCTAAAATCTTCCAGAAATGAAGCCAGCCAGCTGAATCCACCTTATACCACAATCAAACCCTCAAGGTCATCAAATAGGATAAAAGGAAAAAAAAATTCAAATGTCAGCAACCTCAAAAATTAAAGGTAGAAAACTGCACAAAGATGGGAAAGAATCAGCACAAGAACCCTGAAAACAAAAAAGGCCAGAGTGCCTTTTCTTCCTCCAAACAACCGCATCCCTTCTAAAGCAAGGCTCTGAACCAGGTTGAGATGGCTGAAATGACAGAAATAGAAATCAAAATATGGACTGGAATGAAGATCACTGAAGTACAGAAGTACGTTGAAACCCAATGGAAGCAAGCTAAAAATCATGATAAAACAATGCAGGAACTGACAGACAAACAGCCAGCATAGACAAGAATGTCACCAACCTTATAGAGCTGAAAACATTAGAATTTCATAATGCAATTATAAGTACTAATAATAGAATAGCCCAAGTGGAGGAAAAAATCTCAGAAATCTTGGAGTTTGAAGACTGGCTCTCTAAAATAAGACAGCCAGACAAGAATAGAGAAAACAGAATGAAAAGGAACGAACAAAACTGAGAAATATGAGATTATGTAAAGAGACTGAATCTACGACTCATTGGTGTCCCTGAAATACATGAGGAGAATAAAGCCAACTTGTAAAACATATTTGAGGGTGTTATCCATGAGAACTTCCCTAACCTAGTTATAGAGGTCAACATTTAAATTCAGGAAATGAAGAAAACCCCGGTAAGATACTTCACAAGAAGGTCATCCCCAAGACATACAATCATTAGATTATCCAAGGTTGAAATCAAATAAAACATGTTAAAGGCATCTAGCAAGGTAAGGTCACCTACAAAGGGAAGCCCATCAGACTAACTGTGGACCTTTCAGCAGAAACTCTACAAGCCAGAAGAGATTGAGGGCCAATATTCACCATTCTTAAAAAAAAAATTCCAACCAACAATTTCATATCTGGCCAAACTAAGCATCATAAGTGAAGGGGAAATAATATCCTGTTCAGACAAGCAAATACTGAGGGAATGTGTTACCACCAGACATGCCTTACAAGAATTCCTGAAAGAAACACTAAATATAGAAAGGAAAGATCATTACCAGCCACTACAAAAACACACTGAAGTGTACAGACCAATGACTCTATAAAACAACCATATAAACAAGTCTGCAAAATAACCAGCTAACATCATGATGACAGAATCAAATTCACACATAACAATATTAATCTTAAATGTAAATTGACTAAATGCCTCAATTAAAAGACACAGAGTGGCAAGCTGGACAAAGAACCGAGACCCATTGGTATGCTGTCTTCAAGAGACCCATCTCACATGCAGTGATACACACAGGCTCAAAATAAAGGGATGGAGAAAAATCTACCAAGCAAATGAAAAACAGAAAAAACCAGGGGTTGCAATCCTAGTTTCTGACAAAAAAGACTTTAAACCAACAAAGATAAAAAAGACAAAGAAGGGCATTACATCATGGTAAAGAGTTCAATTCAATAAGAAGATCTAATTATCCTAAATATATATGCACCCAACAGAGAGAAGCACTCAGATTCATAAAGCAAGTTCTTAGAGACCTTCAAAGAGACCTACACTCCCACACAATAATAGCAGGAGGCTTTAACATCACCGAAAATATCAGATCATCAAGACAGGAAATTAAGATATTCAGGACCTGAACTCAGCACTGGATCAACGGGACCTGATAGATATCTACAGAAGTCTCCACCCAAAAACAACAGAATATACATTCTTCTCATTGCCACAACCACATACTCTAAAATTCATCACATCATCAGAAGTAAAACACTACTCAGCAAATGCAAAAGAACTGAAATAATAACAAACAATCTCTTGGACCAGAGTGCAATCGAATTAGAAGCCAAGGCTAAGAATTTCACTTAAAACCATGCAATCACATGGAAATTGAATGCCTTTCCTCCTGAACTCCTGAATGCCTTTCGGGTAAATAAGGAAATAAAAGCAGAAATCAGTAAGTTTTTTGAAACAAATGAGAACAAAGATACAACACACCAGAACCTCTGGAAAACAGCTAAGGCAGTGTTAGGACACACATTTATAGCACTAAATGCCCAAATCAAAAAGTTAGAAAGATCTAAAGTCAACAACCTAACATCACAACTAAAAGAACTAGAGAACCAAGAGCAAACAAATTCCAAAGCCAGCAGAAGACAAGAAATAACCAAAATCAGAGCTGAAGTGAAGAATATTGAGACACAGAAAACCATTCAAAAGATGAGTGAATCCAGGAGCTGTTTTTTTTCTTTTTTCTTTTTTTTAATTAATAAACTACATAGACCACTAGCTAGACTAATAAAGAAGAAAAGAGAGAAGATTCAGATAAACACAATCAGAAATGATAAGGGGGATATTACTATTGACCCCACAGAAATACAAACAACCATCAGAGAATATTATGAACGCCTTTATGCACATAAACTAGAATCACTAGAAGAAATGGATAAATTCCTGGACACATATACTCTCCCAAGACTGAATCAGGAAGAAACTGAATCTCTGAACAGACTAATAAAAAGCACTGAAATTGAGTCAATAATAAATAGCTTACCAACCAAAAAAATCCCAGGACCAGACAGATTCACAGCCGAATTCTACCAGATGTACAAAGAAGAGCTGGTACCATTCCTGCTGAAACTATTCCCCAAAACTGAGAAGGATGGACTCCTGCCTAACTCATTCTACAAGGCCAGCATCTTCCTGAGGCAAATACTGGTAGAAATACAACAAAAATTTAAAAATTAGGCCAATATTCTTGATGAACATTGATGTAAAAATCCTTAATAAAATACTGGCAAACCAAATCCAGCATCACATCAAAAAGCTTATCCACCACAATCAAGTAGGCTTCTTCCCTGAGATGCAATATTGGTTCAACATATACAAATCAATAAATGTTATTCATCACATAAACAGAACTAACTAAAGACACAAAACCCACAATTATCTCAAAAGATGCGGAAAAAGACCTTGATAAAATTCAATATTGCTTCATGTTAAAAACTTTCAAATAAACTAGGCATTGAAGGAACATCACTCAAAATAATAAGAGCCATCAATGACATACCCACAGTCAACATCATACTGAATGGGAAAAAGCTGGAAGCATTACCGCTGAAAATGGGCACAAGACAAGGATGACCTCTCTCACCACTCCTATTCATCATTTTGGAAGTCCTGGCCAGGGAAGTTAGGTAAGAGAAGGAAATAAAGGCATTCAAACAGGAAGAATGGAAGTCAAAATATCCTAGTTTGCAGATTACACAATCCTATATCTAGAAAACCACATAGTCTCAGCCCAAAAGTTTCTTAAAGTGATAAACAACTTCAGCAAAGTTTCAGGATATGAAATTAATGTGTGAAAATAACTAGCATTCCTATACACCAGCAACAGTCAAGCTGAGAACCAAATCAGGAACGCAATCCCATTCACAATCACCAGAAAAAGAATAAAATACCTAAGAATACAGCTAACCAGAGAGGTGAAAAATCTCTACAAGGAGAACTATATAATACTGCTCGAACAAATGAGAGATGACATTAAAAAAAAATAGAAAAACATTCCATGATCATGGACAGAAAGAATCAATATTGTTAAAATGGCCATACTGCCCAAAGCAATTTATAGATTCAGTGCTATTTTTGTTAAATTACCATTGAGATTCTTCACAGAACTAGAAAAAACTATTTTAAAATTCATATGGAACCAAAAAAGAGCCTGAATAGCTAAGGCAATCTTCAGCAAAAACAACAAAGCTACCAGCATCATGCTACCCAACTTCAAACTATACTACAGGGCCACAGTAACCAAAACGGCATGGTACTAGTACAAAAACAGACACATAGACAAACGGAACAGGATAGAGAACCTTGGAATAAGACCATATACCTACAACTATCTGATTTTTGACAAACCTAACAAAAGCAAGCACTGGGGAAACGATTCCCTATTCCATAAATGAGACTGGGATAGCTGGCTAACTATATGCAGAAGATTGGACCCCTTCTTTATACCATATACAAAACTTAAGATGTATTAAATAGTTAAATGTAAATCCCAAAGTTTAAAAACCCTGGAAGACAACCTAGGCAATACCATCTTGGACACAGAAACAGGTAAAGATGTCACGGCAGGCCGGGTGCGGCGGCTCACGCCTGTAATCCTAGCACTTTGGGAGGCTGAGGCAGGCAGATCACGAGGTCAGGAGATCGAGACTATCCTGGCTAACACAGTGAAACCCCCTCTCTACTAAAAATACAAAATATTAGCTGAGCGTGGTGGCAGGCACCTGTAATCCCAGCTACTTGGGAGGCTGAGGCAGGACAATGGCATGAACCCTGGAGGCAGAGGTTGCAGTGAGCTAAGATCGTGCCACTGCACTCCAGCCTGGGTGACAGAGCAAGACTCTGTCTCAAAAAAAACAAAACAAAAAAAAGATGTCATGACAAAGACACCAAAAGCAATTGCAAAAAAGAAAATCGACAAATGGGATCTAATTAAACCAAAGAGCTCTTGCACAGGAAAGGAAGCTATCAACAGAGAGAGCCTATAAAATGGGAGAAAATTTTTGCAAACTATTTATTCAACAAAGGTCTAATATCCAGCGTCTATAAGGAACTTAAACAAATTTACAAGAAAAAAACAACCCTATTAAAAAGTGGGGAAATAACATGAACAGGCACTTTTCAAAAGAAGACATACATGCAGCCAACAATCATATGAAAAAGTTCTCAACATCACTGATCATTAAAGAAATGCAAATAAAAACCACAATGAAATACCATCTCACACCAGTCAGAATGGCCAGTGTCAAAAAGTCAAAAAATAACAGACGCTGGTGAGATTATGAAGAAAGAACACTTATACACTGTTGGTGGGAGTGTAAATTAGTTCAACCATTGTAGAAGACAGTGTGGCAATTCCTCAAAGACCTAAAAAAGAAATACCATTTGATCCAGCAATCCCATTACTGGGTGTATACCCAAAGGAATAGAAATTGTTCTATTATAATGACATAGGCATGTGTATGATCATTGTAGCACTATTCATGATAGCAGAGACATAGAGTTAACCTACATACTCCTCAATGATAGACTGGATAAAAAAAAATGTGGTGCATATACACCATGGAATACTCTGCAGCCATAAAAAAGAATGAGATCATGTCCTTCGCAGGAAAATGGATAGAGCTGGGGGCCATTATCTTTAGCAAACTAATGCAGGAACAGAAAACCAAATACCATATATTCTCACTTATTAGTGGGAGCTAAATGATGTGAACACATGGACACAAAGTGGAGAATGACACACACTAGGGCCTACCAGAGGGCAGAAAGTGGGAGGAAAACTAACTAATGGGTACTAGGCTTAATACTTGGGTGACAAAATAGTGTGTACAGCAAGCCCCTGTGACCCAAGTTTACCTATATAACAAACCTGCACATGCACCCCTGAACTTAAATGTTAAAAAAGAGAACTCAGAATAAAAAAAGAAAGAAAAGTAAATACAAGTATACAGTCCTCTGTCTCCTAGGTTCTAAGGATTAAAAGCTCTAAGAAAACTGTTAGAAAAATACATAGTGAATTAAGAAAAAATTATTCCTCATAGTTCCTACATTGTGTATTTGCTTATACTATGTTCACCCTTTTAGGTACGTTTGTGCAAAATGAAAAAGGAATAAAACCCAACATTTTTAGAGGATAATTCATGCTACTCAAAACAATCATGAGGAAAAGCTGGGCTGAAACTAGTGACAAGATTTTGCATTGTGCCACATGGCTGTCACATTTTTGCCCATATTATTTATGAGATTTCTTCAAAGTTTTTATACCAGGTCATTCTTAAGGAATTCTTTGCTCAGGACAAAGTCCAAGTTAGCATCTTTCAGACCCCTGCTGTCTTTCCACCTCCTCTCCACACACACCCATTTATAGGGAAAGGCAAGGGCAGAAAGGAGATTTGGAAGAGAAAAAGGATAGAGGAGCATGAGTGTGTGTGTCCATGTGTGTGTTTGTGTGTGTGTGAGATGTGTCCTGCTTTACCACAGTCCAGGCAGCTTATAGGGAAGTCTGTGTTCAATATCAGCACTTCAGGCCTCTCCAGCAGGCCCTTGTTTCCTTCCTGGTCTTCACTGCCTAGTGCATGGCAACTAAGCCACAACACCCAAACCTGAGAAAAATCATCCCATCCCAGGGCTAAAAAAGTGACTCTAATGATGTGTCTGCCTAACAATCAATAGTTCATTTAAATTGATTGTCTGATACATAAGTAATTTCCTTATAACCTTCTGACTTTTAGCACCACTGATCTAAGAATCACACCAAAAAAAGTGCTGTCAGAATACAAAAATGGTTTTCTGTTTGAATAATATTTATTTTTTATGACCATACGAATGATAAATATTCATGACAGAAATTTGGAAGATTCAGAAAAGTAAATTTAAAAAAAAATCACCTATACCCAGAGGCAACTTGTAAATCTGGCTCATTTTCTTTATTTGTATATGTATATACATATATTTCTGCATCTAATTTTAACATTCAATTGAGATTTGATATATATAATTTTTGGATTCTGCTTTGCATTCATGGTTTACTATAAGCCATTTTCTCTATCATTTGATGTCATTTGAAAACATTTTTAATGGTTGAGAAGATTCTATTGGCTGGGTCTAATACCAAAATTTATTTAAACATTAGTTTATGTGAAATATGTAAAATATACCTAGGTTCTCAATATTATAGGCATTTTTATGGTGAGTATCTTTGAACATAAATATTTTAATATCCCAAATTACTTCCATAATCCAAATATCTACAAGCAGAATTACTAAAGGGTAGAATTTTAAAAATATCAATGTTTATTTTAGATGTAGGGGCTACACGTGCAGGTTTGTTGCATGGGCATATTGTGTGATGCTGAGGTTTGGGGCGGTGCTGATCCTATTACCCTGGTAGTGAGCATTGTACCCAGTAGTTAGTATTTCATCCCTTATTCCCCTTTCCCCTCCCCGCTTTTGGAGTCCTCAGTGTCTACTCTTACCATCTTTGTGTCCATGTGTTAAAGAGTAGGAGTAATTTTGAGGCTTCAGGCTTCTGCTAATTTTTAAGCATTTTTCTGAAATAAAACTTTCAAATTAGTTCAAAAATCAATGTAACAGATGACATCTGTCAATATGCATTATTATATGCATAAATCATATGCATTTTATTATGATTTTGTAAAAGATTGACACAACATAATTCAAAATAACTTATTTACTACAAAGAAGACTCACCACATGAAAATTAGTCAGAATCTAAGGCAATTAAAAATTATTAAAAGAGTCGGGGCGCAGTGGCTCACGTCTGTAATCCCAGCACTTTGGGAGGCCAAGGCGGGCAGATCACAAGGTCAAGAGATCGAGACCATCCTGGCTAACATGGTGAAACCCTGTCTCTACTAAAAATACAAAAAATTAGCCGGGCGTGGTGGCAGGCACCTGTAGTCCCAGCTACTCGGGAGGCTGAGGCTGGAGAATGGCATGAACCCCGGGTGGTGGAGCTGGCAGTGAGCCAAGATCGTGCCACTGCAGTCTAACCTGGGCGACAGAGTGAGACTCCATCTCAAAAACAAAACAAACAAACAAACAAAAAATTATTAAAAGACGAAAAAAATCCCATCATATAAATACTCAATTTTGGCCATATTTTATGAAAAGGCCAAAAGCAATTAAAAAAAAAAAAAAAAGAGAGAGAGAGAAAGAAGTAGGAAAAAAAGAAGAAAGCCATGTGGCTATTATTACAGCAACATGATGTTGGTCAACCACTTCAAGTTTTTGTGGTCAGTGAGGTCACAAGAGCTACAGGCTGACATTTCAAACAAATTATGCACATCGAGGTCACATTTCTCTACTTCAGGCAGTTTCTCATAATTGTAGTGTTCTGTTTTCAAGAGGTCCTTGACTTAAAAATGTCCTTGTGTGCCCTCTAGTGTTTAAATTCATCAAAGCTTTTGAGAAGTTCATATCTTGCTTCTAAACTCCAGTTGAACACCATTTCATTCTTAGACCAAGTGTTTATCTGTATCTGAAGGGGACCAACATACATCTTGTTCCAAAATTTTTAAGGTTTACTTATTTTTTTTTAATTTCAAAGGGAGCTAGAGTAGGGGTTGGAAAATGACCACAGGGCAAATCCTGCCCACTACTTTTTTTCTTTTTGTAAAGAAAGTTTATTAGAACGTATCATGCTCATTCATTACAGATTGTCTATGGATAACTGCATTTGCTCTGCAACAGCAGAGTTAGGTAGTTACTTCAGAGTTCTTATGGTCCCAAAAGGCTAAAATATTTACTATCTGGCTGGTCACAGAAAAAGTTTGCTGACCCTGGAGCTAGAGCTCTGATAATTAGATTGGATACCATGACATTTTACAATGTCCTTTAATTCCACTCCCTTTCCATCGACCCCCGGAAAACTAGTTAAAACAAAGACCTTTGTGGGCCAGTCCATTAGCTTTGTGGTCCAGGTACAAACTTTGTAGTTTTAGTGAAACCATTCGTTGTTTTTTATTTTTGTAATATTTACTTAGCATGATAATATCAACTCCGTTCTGATGACTTTGACATTAATATGATTATATTGGAGAGAATATAATGAGATCAAAGCTCTTTACTCATCAAGACCAGGAACTGAAGAACTTTTTCCTCCTTTGCTACCTCATCTCTTAGCTAGAACTTAGATAATCAGTATCCTCATTCCTATTTTTACACAATTAATAATAATATTTGCAATTATTTTGAGAAACATACATGATCTTTCTCAAATAAGGTAAACATACCATTTATAATTAATATGGAATTTAGTTTAAGTCCATGCTTGATTTAAATCTCACACAATCACCTCTTTTATATACTAACGAAAGCACAGTGCGCAATAATAAAGCCACGGTCCTGTGTGGTCAACTTACAGGATACCTTCTTTCCTCAGTGCAAATACCACGTCTTTCTAAGTCCCTCTAATATTTTATCCTCTCTTTTGTGTATCTGGAAGCTTTATTGAAACATCTTACTCCTTATCTGAAATAGTTGACGTATAGTTCATAAGAGCTTTTTTTAAATATGGTTTCCAGGAAATGGATCTATTTTATCACTTTCTAACTTAATATGTGACTTCTGTTTCAGAATAGTTACAGCCATTCTTTTCTTCAAAGGTACACATCAGCAATAGCCTGGCCAGAAATTTTGTACAATGATAGGAGAAAACGAAAAACTAGGGGCTTAGAAAAGTGAATGAAAACAGTTTTTGGTTGATTATTTTGTTCATGAAAAGACATCTTTTTCTCGTGACATACATTCATGGCCATTGTAGATTACATGCCTGGAGCTGCCCTTCTCAGCCTTTCAATTTTTCATTACATGAATATTCTTTACTCTGTTCTTTATAGTCCCCCATTTCCCTGACACCAACCCCCCACTACAATCCTCTTCTCTGTATTTGACACAGAAATCATTTAAACACAAACCCAAATACAAACACTGCATAGATTTACCATATGGAATCACATATGTCAAATTTCTGAATCAAATAATGCAAACCCACAATGTTACTTTCCAAATATATACAACAACAACAACTGAATGGGTGCTGAAACATATTACTTATTAAAGGTGCTCAATGTTAAAAGCAATTAAAATAAAATTCAGAAAAAAGTGATATCATACCTCTATTCCATAAGCAAAAAAATTCCAAACTTACCTGCAAAAGAAAAGAACAATAAATCTCAAATCAGAGGATTTTTTTCTAGTAAATTAGGCAAAACTGTCATCATAAATATAGTTATTTCTTAATTATCACTGTGTATATCATTCTCTGTAAATAATGCTTATTGGTTCTTATAGATACCAACAGGGCTGGCAGTGACATTCTCTAAAGGCCAAATCTCACTGTGCATAGGGTCATTTTCCATATGTAGTCTGCTTCATAAGAAAGTTTTTAGAACAAAAACTTAAATAATTCCCTGGACCCAGGAAATCTGCATTACAAGACATTTTTGGGGGCACTAAATCCAAACAAGGAAAAAAGAAAAGGTTTTGGGGTCAGACTGACCTGGGTTTAAATCCTAGTTCTACTGTAGCCTGGTAACTCAAGTCATTTTACGCCTGTTGAGCCTCAGTATTTTCGCCTATAAAATGGGGACATTATATTTATGTAATTGAGTTATTGTAAGCATTGAAGTCATTTTGTGGCATGCTGTAGAAACTCAAAAAATATTGCCTTCGTGCCATCCTGTAAGCTTTATTTTAGGCCAATACTTTGCTGAAACATAGATGCTTAGTGCAGTATATAAAACATGGAAGAGCTTTAAGCAATTAATAATGGCTAGAAAAGTAACAAGTTTTACATTTCCATCTTCATAGTGTGACCAAGTTGGTTTATATGAAATATTAATCATCTTCTAGATGCTGGGCAATTTATTTCCCAGTGTGAATTCAAGTGTTTCACTCAGAGTTCAATCAATTAACTGAGAGTATGGCAGTCTTCAGCATGGTCTCTGCATCCCATATATTCACATGATGCCCCCTATTATGTTCCCTTCACGACCTCACTGCAGCCTCACTAGCCTTCCAGCTATTCCTGGAAAATAGCAAGCCTGCTCCAGTCTCAGGATATTTACATTCCCTGCCCATTCTGCCCATGAATATATCCCCACTCCCGGTCAATTCTTGTCTCAAAGGACCCCTTCTATTTCCCTATTGCAAATTCCAACCATATTCTCAGCCTCTACTTTGAACTCCCCTGCTATTGCACCATTTGTTCTCCAGCACTGATAGCCTTATAAGATGCTACACAATGTATTTATTTACTATGCTTACTGAGTCTCTCTGTCCCTACCACTCCATATAAGCTACACAGAAAGAGGGGTGTCTGTTTTGTTCACTATTGAATACCCAGAACCTGGAACAATGCCTGGTAAATAGAAGTTATTCAAAAAACATTTGTTTAAGGACTCAATAATACATATATGAAAAAATATAAAAATATAAAGTGTATATATATATAAAATCCATATGTATATTTGTTTATATACATATTTTACTAATATACATACATATTTATCACACAAATATTTACATGCTTATTATCCATAGGAATTTTTAATTTTTAATAAAATTTTTAACTAGAAGTAAACCATTTTTGTTTTTGTATTTGTTTTGAGATAGGGTCTCCCTCTGTCACCCAGACTGAAATGCAGTGGTGCAAACACGGCTCACTGCAGTCTCAACTTCCTGGACTCAAGTGATTCTCCTGCCTCAGCCTTCCAAGGAGCTGAGACTACAGGCCGGTGTCACCATGCCTTGCTACTTTTTTTTTTTTTTAATTTTTTTATATTTTGAGGAGACGGTATCTTGCCATGTTACCCAGGCTGGTCATGAACTCCTGGACTCAAGCAATCTTCCCACCTGGGCCTCCCAAAGTGCTAGGATTATAGGTGTGAGTCACTGCGCCAAGCCCTATTTTATTTTTACTTAACAATTATCATAAGAGAAATTGAGGCAACCATTAGAGCTGCTGGCTCTATCTTTCTAGCTCTCCACCCTCAGGACACATGTAGATGTATTTAATAACCCTCTTGTGGTTGAATGGAGCCACGTGACTGATTCTGGCCAATCAGTGGCCAAGCATTGATTTGCTGGTGTGAGACTCTCCACCTCTTCCCCTTTCTCCTTCTGCCAGAAGGATCAGCAAAGTCCATGATGGTAACCCTGTCAGTTTCTGTACCAGAGTGAGGAGGCTGTGCAGCAGAGCTCCCTGTGGATGACATGTAGTATGAGAAACAACAATCACTATTACCTTTGTTGTTACAAGATTTAGAGGTTGTCAGGGCAATTTAACTCACCCATCAGGATAAATAGAGAAATTGTGCACATATAATTTTAAAATTATACTGAAAGCCTTATTTAAAAAACAGTCTGCAAAACTATACTATATATATTCATGCTGAATGCCCTTTCTCAAGTCATTTTGTAATTCTATGTAATATGCTTATACTGTTTTTATTTCTTGATTTTCAATTTTTTTAGCCATTATCTATTCATTTCTTGTCATAATAAAGATTTAATTATCCTATACTGATCTCCCTTTCCCTTTTATCACCTAGTTACATCATAATTTTTAGGTAAATTAACTATCACTGTTTACATATTTTTACTACATAAAAATCTTATTTACTATGTATGTAACACAGACATATTTGCTTTATGGCTCAACTTCTGTTTTGCTTGTAGTTAATAATTGCTTTGGTTCTTTTCCAAATGGTACTCATATCTGCCACCCCCTCAGATGCTCTAGCAAATTGGATAATCTATCAATTTCATTTTCTCTTTTCAGGCCTCCTCCTCAACATCCTATACTCTTGCCTCAATCTGTACTTATTGGCTAGTTGCTTTCTAGGCCCGCTAGAAATCTGACAACCTAAGCATTCTCTCTGCTGTCTCCTGTGTTGGTTATTGGATCTCATGATTTCCTTTTTGATAGCTTCCTGCTTTTTGTGGGTCACATTTTATAGAAGCTCAAGTGGCAAACGAAGTGAATAGTTTTAATATTTTACATCTTTCGGATCTTGCATCGCTAAAGATGACTTTATTCTGTCTTTATACTAGTTCATAGTTTGACTTGCTAAAGGAGTCTATGTTGAAATTTAAATTTCTTCAAAATACTGAAGCCATTACTCTATTGTTTTCCAGCATCTATTCTTTTAGGTAATTTATCATTAATCTGATTACTTTCATTTTAGGTAGAGGGTGGGGGAGGAGATGAGGTTTCCGCATTCATGATGCTATTCTGGATGTTAAAATGCACTGCCCAGATTCCCCTCAGCACGTGTTTCTCCAGTAGAGGGTATACTGCTCCTGCCCAAGATTATACCCATGTATACAAACCTGCAAACAATGGCTATTCGATAAACGGGAGGGAGGTAGTATAGAGTCCTAACCTCTTCCCCTAAGTTTCAGAAACCCCAACTGAGCCAGAAGAGGCCTCCACTGAGGCCTTTTGAATATTGACTTCAAAATCTTACCCATGTATACAAGCCTGCAAACAATGGCTATTCGATAAACGGGAAGGAGGTAGTATAGAGTCCTAACCTCTTCCCCTAAGTTTCAGAAACCCCAACTGAGCCAGAAGAGGCCTCCACTGAGCCTTTAACCCTATTCCTACTCTTCTTCCGGTGGTACTCACACTGAGAGCATTTCCCCATAAACACTCTGCATCCCAATCTCTGTCTATCTCAGAGTCTCTCAGAGAACCAGACCTGCAACACAGACATTCTCTTCATTCCTTGTTTCAGCCCCACACCTCTTCCCTGCAGGGTGCTACATCTTCTCTCTCAGAATCCTGACCCTTTCTGAGAACATTTCTCTAGAAAATAAATCTTGGGTGTTTCTGTGGTAGGGGCCGTGGGTAGAAACAGGAGCCTTAGATAGGATGCAGGGAGGCAGGCTTCTCTCCCATTCTCACACCTCTTCTTTTAAATTCCTCTATTTAATTACAGGTAATATGAACATGTGATCAATTCATTACTAATTCACAATTCACAATTAATTAGGAGTCCATTTTTAAAGATTATTTGTTCATCTGTTAGCATGAATTAAAAACAATTTTATCTATCAAAAGTAGAAAAGGCATAAGAACATTTTCCAAACTGGTACATTGAATACTAGCTTTTGAGATGGTAAAAGTCCAGTTGAATAATAAAAATAAGAAAAAGACTAGAGAGTCAAATAATTTATAAATATTGACTTCAAAATCTTAAAGAAAATATTTTTTATTACGTGACTTCTAAGAGCTTTAAATATACTAATTGGAATGTGACTATTTTAGAAGGTAGAGAGCATTTGCAGAGTAAGTAGGGCATTCCCCTGTAGATGGCAGTTAATATCAGAGTAAGCCATGTTTTAGAATATGACTTGGGGCTGGGCATGATGGCTCATGTCTGCAATCCCAGGATTTCTGGGAGGCTGAGGTGGGAGGATACCTTGAGCCCAGGTACTCCAGCCTGGGGGACGAAGTAGGACCTTGTCAAGAAAGAAAGAAAGAAAAAGAAAAGAAGGGCAGGGCAGGAGGAAGGGAAGAAAGGAGGGAGGGAGGGAAACGAAGAGAAAGAGAAAAGACAAAAAGAAATATGCCATGGGAATTGCTGCACAAAGCATCTTAATCTAAGTTTTATATAAATGACAGGGCTTCTATTACTCCTACAAGAATTCCTTTACCTTAGCTGGAGAGGTAAAATGAATTGCTAATCACTTAAAAACCAGCATGACTGTACCAAGGAATAAAACACATTAACTCTGTTTCAGGTGAGTGCTTTCTCCATCACATCAAATTGCCTGCTAACTTAAAATTAATCATAATATTTGAATTAGGATCATTTAACATAAAAAAAAATGCATTTCCCAGAATATTCTACTCTAGAAATCAATTTCTCACCATCCTGCTGAAACTTGTCCAAGCAATCTGCACGTATGTATAAATCTATCTTTTTTTATCTCTAGTTCAGCACGTGCCATAATGTTCTCTGGGGAGCACCCAACCCCATTAGATACTCTGTAAACAAACAAAAAATTACATGTTTAATAAAGTTTGGAATATTTCGCATATGTATCTCTTTCCTGGAGATTTACAATATTTATTTAGCTTCCAGTAATATATCAGTTTAATTTTATGAAGCTCAGCTTATTTGACCATGCGACCATTTTGCATGTAGTACCTGTTGATATTAGCATTCCACAAAACCTACTTTGGGAAATACTAACCTAGATTACTAAGGTTCATACTAGCAAGAGATGAATAAAACATAAAATATTATAAATAATAATGGAGAAAAAAGAGCTCCAATGATCTGACAAGGAGAAATGGTTTTTATGAAGGGACACGATTTCTCAATGAGAAAGAAAGAGGAAACAGAAAACTAACAGTATTTATTTGTATTTCCATTGTATTTCCATAGCTAGGATGGGTATGGTTCGGGATTCTTTGTTCAGTTTTATAAACCTCATGCTGTCACAACTTCATTAACCCAAGGCTAAGCCATAATTCTAAAATATATATATATATGTTTAAAAATTGACAAATAAAAATTTATATATTTATGATGTAAAACATGTTATTTTGATAGATGTATATATTGTGAAGTGGCCAAATCAAGCTAATTAATCTATGCATTACCTCACAAACTTATCTTTTTTTTTGTGGCAAGAACACTTAAAACCTATTCTTTTAGCTATTTTCAAGTATGCAATGTGTTGTTATTAACTATAGTCACCCTGATGTACAACAGATCTCTGGAACTTATTCCTCCTGTTTAACTGAAATTTTGTGTCCTTTGACCAACATTGCCCCAATCTTCAGCCCCCACCCACCAGCCCTGGTAACAACCATTTTATTCTGTTTCTATGAGTTTGACCTTTTTGCTTTCACATTTAAATGAGATCATGTGGTGTTTATTTCACTTAACATAACATCAACCGGATTCATCCATGTGATCCCAAATGACAGGATTTCCAAAATATATAAGGAACTCAAAAAGGTCAACAGTATGAAAACAAATAACTTAATTAAAAAACAAGAAAAGGATCTAAACAGTCATTTCTCCAATGAAGCCATACCAATGGCCAACAGGTATATGAAAAAATGTTCAACATCACTTAATAATCAGGGAAATGCAAACTAAAACCACAATGAGATATCACCTCATACCTGTTAGAATGGTTAGTACAAAAAAGATGAAAGATGGCAAGGATGTGGAGAAAACAGAAGACATTTACACTGTTGGTGGGAATGTATATTAGCATAGCCATTATGGCAAACAGCATCGAGGCTCTTTAAAACCTAAAAATAGTACTACCATATTATCCAGCAATCTCACTACTAGGTATATATCCAAAGAAAATGAAATCAGTGTGTCAAAAAGATATTTGCACTCCCATGTTCATGATAGCATTATTTAAAATAGCAAAGATATGGAATCAACCTAAGTGTTCATCAACAATGAATGGATAAAGAAAATGTGGTACAGACACACACACACACACACACACACACACACACACAAACACAGTCACACACTGGAATTCTACCCAGCCCTGAAAAAGAAGGAAATCCATAACATATCTTTTATTTTGGATAGAATGGTCATCAAGGGTATTTGTGACAGATATACCATGAATGACATGAACCTAATATTAAATTTTTATTTTTGTTGATGTAAGGAACATTAATAGCCTGGAAACTATAAGTTTTAAGATTTAGCTTAGGAACTCAAACAATGTAGCAAATACATTTCATCATGATTTGATCTATCTATATCTATCTTATAAAATTGTGTGAGCATGAGGTTTTGGGGATGAAGAGATAATGGAATCAAATTTTAGTTTTTACCCCCAAATCTTCTAGACTTTAATTGTGTATTATGTAAAATGTAAGTATTTAAAATATGAAGTTCATGAATGGGTTCATGAGTCAACCACAGGGGAGTTGGTGAAGCCCCTGAAACTAAAAAATTGAAAAATTGAAAAATTAAAACTGAAAAATTGTGTGTATGTTTACATTTTTCAAGAGAGATTTGATTTAATCAAATTTTCAAAGCACCCTGAGATACCCAAAAAGTGATAGATCCCTTAAAGAGATAATCTCTAAGAATTCTGTCTCCTTTTTCATTAACAGTTTTATAAGCTTTCTTATGAAAAGTATAAGTCATGTTTATGATATTTAGTAATTTATTTGCTGAGCCTTCATTTTTAGATATTCAAGAAATTTAAAAGTAAATTGTAAATAATACAATTAGTTTCTAAGGATTGTTTATAATTATACAAAATTTTAATATATATTTTCTGTTCTTCAGCTAGGACAGAGAGAGCCTCTTTAAAAGATTTTATTTGATGCTAGGAAGGATGCTGAGAAAAGAGAACTCCTATACACTGATGGTGGGAATGTATATTAGTACAGCCACAAAGGAAAACAGTATGGGAGTTTCTCAAAAAACTAAAAATAAAACTATCATATGATCCAGCAATCCCACCACTAGGTATTTATTCAAAGGAAAGGCAATGAGTATATTAAAAGTACACCTGCACCCCCATGTTTATTGCAGCACTATTCACAATAGCCAAGATATGGAATCAACCTAAGTGTCCTTGATAGAACTGGAGGTCATTACAATAAGTGAAATGAGCCAGGCACAGAAAGACAGATATGGCATGTTGTCATTCATATGTGGGAGCTAAAACAGAGGATCTCTTTGAGGTAGAGAGTAGAACGATGGTTACCAGAGGCTGGGAAGAGAGAGGTGGGATGAAGAGAGGTTAGTTAGTGGGTATGAGCATATAGTTAGATAAAAGAAATAAGTTCTAGTGTTTGATAACACAGAAAGGTGACTATAGCTAACAATAATTTATTGTATATTTCAAAATATCTGGAAGAGCTGAAGTGTTCCCAATGTAAAAAATAATAACTGTTTGAGGTGATGGTAACCTTAAATACCCTGATTTGATCATTACACATTGTATGCATGAATCAAAATATCACATGTACCTCCTAAATATGTATAATTATGTATCAATCCAAATACTTACAGTAAAAAGGAGATTTGAATTGTAAGAAAAAAGGAGAAGAAAGTCTACTATTTTTGCAACTTAAAATTATTTGTGTGAGATACTCACTTGCCCACAAGATGGCGCTCTCTAATTTTGGATATACTATTTTCCCAAACCAATTTCTCAAGAAGTTATTTCTAGTGTTCTCTTCCCTGAAAAATAACATTTACAATAAATTATTCTTCACTATTTTTTGATTTTCATGCTTGAACATCTAGCAATGCATGACAAAGTGTATGGTAATGTTTTTGAGTGAGTGGATTGATGAATGGATGTTTCAGACGTTCACAGAATATTTACTAAATTTCTGTTGCATAAACAGCTTTGCACAGTGGATTTAAAAACAAAGAAACAAAAGGAGTTAAAGTATAAAGAGCAAATCAGGGTTACTATCTTTTAAGAAGTTAATATTTTTATATCCAAAAGTTTCATATTATATGAAAAATGATTGGTCTAGACATACAAATGTACAGCAAAGAGAAGACATCAGTGTTGAGTTCAATTAGGTAAAAGACCTATGGAAGAGCTTTAAGGCTTGTATGAGAAGGAGGTAAGGGGAAGATATTTAAGACAGGGCAAATAACATAAAAAATAGCTTGATATTATGTAGTCATGCCATCCAAAAAAAAAAAAAGGCCTCCCATTAGATAAGGCTAGATGAGTTACAGAGGGTGGTGAAAGTCACTCTGAGAGGAAGACAAGGTAACTAATATTTATTGAGATCATAATATGACTCATACTGTTATTTAATTATCTTTCCCCATCCTCAAAAATATGTCGATGTGCCTCTTATTAGAGTATTAGAATTATGCTGCTATATTTGGATATTTTGAGTAGGTTACACTTCCCTAAACGTTGTATAAATCCCAGTATACAATCACCAGAGCAATAGGGATTTCCCGGAGAGGAAATCAGAGTTAAGGAGGTGAGCCTTAAGTAAGCACAGGAGGAGACTAAACTTCTCTGTCTTGATTCTCAATCTCTTGAGCAATGACTATGTCTTGTAGAGCCCTCTCTTGTGGGAAGGTTAAATATGGCCTCTGCTGTCCAGTGTGAAGAGGGAGTTAGAAGAAGAGTTTCTCCTAGGGGACTTCATTTGAATAAAATATCTCCTATTATAGGACAAATTATCTAGTTTCATGTTATTTTGATTCTACATAGTTTGTCAGTAAAGTGTTGCTTTAAAATTCCTGCTTTGTCTCAGTTGTTAAACAAAGAAAAGGATTTTTTTTAAACCCACATTTAGATCACATTGAGTTAAAAAGAGTACCGTCTGTCCAAAGGATGATCGTAGTGAGAACAACAATGAGAAAGACCCTGAGGAAAAGAATTCTTCTGCTTCTCATTTGTCTCTCTGTTTCTTCCCTTATTTCCCTAAAGTCATCTCCAAATTAGGAGTCAGAGTTATCTTGTTAACATCTGTTTAAAGGTCTTTGTTTAATAAAGCAAAGCCACTAGTAAGATAAATAGAGCTACAAGTCCCCTTATGTTTCATCTCCAACTTTTTCCCTTATTCTCCACTTTGCTTCTTCACTCCAGCCACCAGCACCTTACCATCCCTCTATGATGGCAGGAGAACTTTTTGTACCTCCTTCATGTTTACTCGCATGCTACCTTCTGAATGAGGTCTTTCCTAACACCACTTAAAATTCCACCACCCACCACACACACATTCGTTAACCTCTTCTCTAACACACTTTTCTTCATAGTATTTATCACAAAATCTTCCCCATATATATTTTTAAATATAGATATATAAATATATATTACATATATATAAAATATATAAATTTTTTTTCTTGTCTTTCACTCCCACCTGGAATATAAAGTCCACAAAGGTATTTTTGTTGGTTTCATTCACTGCTGTATTTTTTTTTTTTACAGTACAGATAAGAAAGCTCAGAACATAGTATGCCTTCTGTGATAGTTAATACTGAATGTCAATTTGATTGGATGGAGGGATACAAAGTATTGATCCTGGGTGTGTCTGTGAGGGTGTTGCCAAAGGAGATTAACATTTGAGTCAGTGGGCTGGGAAAGGCAGACCCACTCTTAAGCTGGATGGGCACAATCTATCAGCTGCCAGGGCAGCTAGAATATAAGCAGGCGGAAATACGTGAAAAGAAAGACTGGCCTAGCCTCCCAGCCTACATCTTTCTCCCATGCTGGATGCTTCCTTCCCTGAAACATCAGACTCCATGTTCTTCAGTTTTGGAACTTGGACTGGCTCTCCTTGCTTCTCAGCCTGCAGATGGCCTATTGCGGGACCTTGTGATCATGTGAGTTAATACTTAATAAACAACCCTTTATATAGATATATAAATGTGTGTGTGCTTGTGTGTGTGTGTGTGTGTACATATATTCCATTAATTCTGTTCTCCTAGAGAACCCTAATATACCTTCTGTTATATTTATTGAATCAACTTTTTAAAAGTCTAATTTCTGTGTTCCCTTGAAAAATCAGAAAGCCTGACAACCCCGGCCTGTGTTTTCACATGCTAACAACTGTGAGGAGCTCAGAAGTCACTGCTCATGCAGGTGAGGATATATCTATACCCTCCTTGCCCAGGATCCCCCTACCTTTTCCACTGAATAGCTCCTGTCTCCTGCAGATATGTGAGTTGTGACCTGCTGGGAGAGTCATGAAATGGAGAGTGACAGGATCAAATGAAGACTTTCAGTAAGTCACCTGGAAATAGTGTGTAGGATTAATTTAATGAGTCTGGAGGTTGATGCCTGTTAGAATCTGCTGTCGAAGTCCTGGCATGAATGGATGAGGACCTGTGTGATGTGAACTCAGCTGCAGAATGAAAGACAGGGGGAGTAGAGTTTGAAGAAAGGATTAATTGAACCTGAGGATGGATGGGATATTAAAAATGAATGAAAAGAAAAAGTAATGATGACTAAAATTTCTAGATTGGATAATTAGGAAAACGTTAATTTCTGATGTAAAAGGGAACTCAGAAAAGAGTCAACCTAGGACAGAAATCAAAAGACCTACATATGAAAAGAAATATACTGATTTGAGTGAACCCAAGCAGAGTTTGAAGACACAGATTCAAAGGTATTTGATAACAACAAACAGGACTTTGAGATCAGTGCCAGAGATGGGGACTCAATTTTGCATACAGCTTACATACTGCCTATGTAAAGGCACTTTATGATAAAGACCACCTCAAGAACAGAACATATAGAACAAAGGGAAAAAATAGGGGATAAAAGAGATGATTCCCAGTTATTGGTCAAGTGGTTAGAATGAAAAACGCAAAATTCCTCTTCTCCCTCTCAAAAGCACACACAACTACACAAACTTATGTGTTAATGATTTTAGTGTGTTGAATCTGGCTGCTTCCACACTGCATGCATCCTACCTTTCTCCATTCATACCTAAGATAATCTCATTCTAGCGAGTCTTACATTATAAATGACAACACCAATATTTAGGGAGGTTCCTCTTTTTTCTTCACTGACTTTGCCTTTCCAAACAACATATACTTTGTGAAACCTCTGAGAAAAAAGAAAGTAGTTTAATCTGCTGGTTTTTAGGACAATAATTTTTAAAAGACTCGTTATTTTTGGTCCAGACACCACGCAAAACTCATCTTCAACCAAAGGCAGGTGCCGGCTACAGCATCAAGAAGGTAACAGGTGGTTTCTCTTCCTCTCCTTTCCTCTAAAACGTGAATAAAGCAAAAGTTTTAGCATTCAGAAATAAGCCTTTTAATTAAAAGTGGAAGATAAATGTGATAAAAGTTTTCTTTGAGCTCTTTAATACAAGCTCATTCTATAAGGGTTAGAAATAGTATTTTTTTGTCTGTCACTAGAGCCATTTTACTGTGGGGCCTAATGTTTCAGATTTTGGATACTCATTTCTTTTGATTGAAGGTGTCATCAGGTGTTTTCCACCTTTAGTGATCTGAAGTGGTTCCTCTTCAGTTGCTAAAATATAGTCTGTCGCTTGAGCTGTCCAATAGACCCACAGAGGTCTGCTATCTGTATTGGCAGATAAATGACAGCAGACGGAATTGAGCCTGTGTTCTGTCTCATCGGCAAGCCTGAAGCCTTAGAAGAAGAGATGTTCCCCTGAAGCATTATGCAGGTTGCTCATCCAGAATCAGTGTCACTGTCATAGTTTGTGAAAGGGAAACTGGCAAATCTCTATACATAATATGCAAAATGCAACCCTCTCAATTCTCATAGGCATATTCTCTTCACTCACATTTTGTCTTTTTGCTGAAGGCAGGCTTCTGGGCCAAGATGTTTTGCCAGCCTTGTATTTTTTTTTTTTTTTTTTTTTTGCCCAATGTGTAAAAAGATAATTAATGTTACCACTAATGCATGCAATGACATTAGTATCAATTCCCTTAGTGATACACACACACACACACACACACACACACACACAAGGAAATGAAAAAAAGTTAATTAACAATTTATTGAGCATATACTATATTACAGGTTTACTATACTATTACAATTGTGCTTTTTTATTACTATTAGTGAAAATAACGAAAGATAACACTTTAATATTGTTCACCATATACAAGGCACAGTTCCAAGGATTTAAAATCTATCAACTTTATAAATCTTTACAACAACCCTATGAGTTTAGCATTTACCAACTGCATTTTAGATATGAGAGAAAATGCTAATAGTTATTACTCATAGTAATACCAACAAAAATAATAGTTAACATATGAGTCTTTGCTAAGTTTTAGGTAATATTATATATGTATGTTACATAAATATGCATGTATGCATATATACAGGTTGAGCATCCTAAACCAAAAATCCAAAATTCAAGATGCTTTGAAATCCAAAATGCTCCAAAGTCTAAAACTTTTTGGTCACTGACTTGAGATAGTGACTCCTTTGCTTTCTGATGTTTCAATGTACACAAACTTGGTTTTATGCACAAAATTATTTAAAATATTGTGTAAAATTATATTCAGGCTATGTGCACATGGTGTACATAAAACATAAATAAATTTCATGTTTACGGCTGGGCATGGTAGTTCACACCTGTATTCTCAGCACTTTGGGAGGGCAAGGCAGGAAGATCGTTTGAGAAGAGGAGTTGAAGACCAGCCTGGACAACATAGAGATATCCTGTCTCTACAAAAAATTTTAAAAATTAGCTGGACATAGTGGTGCACACCTATAGACCTGCACACCTGTAGATTGCTGGAGCCCAAAAGTTCAAGGTTACAGTGACCTATGGTCATTCCACTGCACTCCAGCCTGGGCAACATAGATTCTGTTTCTAATACATATATTAGAGACTATCTATCTATCTATCTATCTATCTATCTATCTATCTATCTATCTATTTATTTTGATTCCATGGGGGAGATCACTCCATTAATAATGCAAGAGAGTGAATAAGATGGGAGAGGGTGGCATGCAATTGAGAGATGAACTTTATACTGGAATACCAAGTTTATGGTGTGGAACTCTGTGGTATTACACCAAAAATGTTAGGGGTTCTCAGTGGGCTGTCTCTTTCTATTAAACTCCATTTACATTTAGCTCTGCTGATGTTGCTCTTGCAGCAGTTGGTTTTCTCAATTAATAGAAAAGGGAGAGGGAACAGCTTAAAGCCTTGGCTGTTGCTGCTCAGCAAGGGAACTGTGCTGCTCTGGAGGGAAAAGTCTGGACATTGTGAATTTCTGTTTGCTTACTTTTTTTCTGACACACCTGTCTTTCAGGAAGCCTTGCAGTCCTAAGTTGAATGAACCAGCATGCTGGAAAGCCCTTCTTTTGGATAAAGTTCAGGGCTTTTCTGCCAAACTGAGGCACCCTCACAACATGTGTTCTGCCAACCACCTAAGGTCAAAAAGATTTTCTGGATGTTTCTCAGACAAAGGGAATTCAAAATCTGCAAGGAATGGCATGGGGCATGATAATTCTGAGAGACAAGGTTCTCCAGGCTATGAACAGAAAACCAACTTTTTGTATTACTGTTTAACTCAAGTAGAATCAACAATGGCATGGAAATTCGTTTTATTTTACTCTTCCTAAGGAGGATCATCTCATTTAAAGTGTGAATTCAAAAACTCATTATTGTGATAGAGTGACTTCTTTTCATCCTAATTATTTTCCAGAAGTATCCTGCTTGCTAGTGAAAAGACTGGAGGTGGAGAATACTAGTTATAAATCATCTTTAGAGTGAGAACTGAAGTGAGGTAATTTAACCTGAACAGCACAAACTGTCTCTGGCATCTGCAACCTAATCATCACCAGCAGTGAATCTGCTGGTCTGATTGGCCAGGTGTACATGTCTCATCTGTCTCCTGAAAGGTCAGGGGTAGCCAGTCACACTTCTGCCAATAAAGAGCACCACCAGTCCCTGCTCCACAGTTAGTGACCATGTTAAACCTATCAAATATTGAAGGGGAAAGGAGATATTCCATTCAAATGTGAAATAATCCCAATCCAAGATGTCTACCTATTATCATGATAATAAACAGAGGACATTTATATCTAGAAATTTGGTTGCTTTGGTTCCTTCTATATCTACAAAATAATTATTAAACTAACCCACCCACCCCAAATTCTATACACAAGGCTTAGAACAAGATACAGGAGTCTTTTGTGCCACCCTCTCTATAAGACTCTCAAACTTTTTTTTTTTAAACTTCATATTTCTAACTGACTTTCTATTATGAATGATTAAGATTTCACATTCTTTCACCATCTCACCTTTCTACTTCCCTCTTTCTATCCTCCTGATACAGTTATATAACAATTATTGGCCAAATAAACATTCAGGATTCTATTGTATCATCCCTGCAAAGTAATGTTTACTGATAAACCAAATGGTGTGCCATGATTATGTTTTATTTATTGAATAACTTTTTGTTTTTTCTGGAGTTATACATTGCCTTCTTTATTTGATTATGTAACATTATCACCAATTTTTCTGGAAGTCTCTAAAACATAATTAAAAAAATTTAATTTCTGTGGGTACAAAATAGGTAGGTAGGTAGGTAGAAAGACAGATAGATAGATTTATGGGGCACAAGAGATATTTTCATATAGGCAAACAATGCATAATAATATCAGGATAAATGGGGTATCTATTACTGTAAATATTTATCCTTTAAGTTATAAACAATTCAATTATATTATCTTAGTTATTTTGATATATATGATAAACTACTGTTGACTGTAGTCACCCTGTTGAGCTATCAAATACTAGATC